ATTCCCCTGCGGATTGCATCATCAAAAACTGGTTTCAAACCAGTTCGTATTACTCGTGTCAGCAAATTAGTGACAAGTATTGTGATTTTGCCAGCTGTATTTCTGACTACATCAGTGGGGCAATCTAACAACTGAAGTCATGAATTGTTCATCAGGTCGAAACAAAAAGGTGAATTTATATGACTTTGTCATGTGTTTATTATTCTATCATGCTTCTAATTATCAGTTACCCGTAATGAAATACTTTCCTAACAATGTACGTGACATTGTTATTCAAAGTACCATAGTGTAGCCCAAATCTTTTCAAGTTGTTTAATAAACAAAGCTGTCTTCTCTTTTAGAGAATTTGCTGCCTTGAACCGAAATACTTAGCGGAAAAATACCCAGATTATTCAAGTGGCTTTCTAAAAAAGACGCACTCATCCATGGGATGCGACAGAATTTTGACAACGACTTTATTTCTCGCTGCGATGGTAAGTTCGTGTTTGGTTTGTTTTACAAACGATCAGTTTTTCAAAGTTCAGTTATAGCGTTTATGTGAAGGATGTTTCTTTGTCATAATTTATGTTCAATCAAGGGCTAACAGCTATGATAAAAGCCTTTGAGAAGGCTTAGTTCTCCACCGCTTGACAACCTAAGCGCATCGTGACGAGAGTATCTGCGCAGGCGTGCAGATTCTTTCATCGCCTGTGACGTCTATCCCACAACACTCTCGAATAACGCCATCGCACAATATGGGAATCTTATAATTTTTCCCTAAAGTGAAACTTGAGCGGCACGGGGTCATTTGTTATCTGCCATTCGGACGACTTGCATGGAGAAATTTACTAACCATGCACTCTCAAACACGAGGAGCTGATTTGTAAAACTTTAGAGAATGGATTAAGGATACTCTTTTGAAAATAATTATTAAAGCATTTTATCACAATTTTTTTTGGTTTTAGTTGCAAGCACACACTGGAAGTTGCAGTATTTGTAAATATGGTGAAATCACCTACCGAAGCAATCAAGCGGGACAGAAGGACAAATGTGGCCCATGTATTGATTGCCCAGATGGAATGGAACCATCAATTGCATGTGGAAGTGTCGCCGAGTATGGGACGCTTTTAGACTGTGTAGCGTGCAGGGAGGGAACCTATTCAGACACATATGGGAAAGAACAATGCAAACCGTGTGCCTTATGCTCTGCCGGACGCACAGTGACTCGGAACTGCTCTACGACTTTGAACAGCGATTGTGGTTCTTGTAAACATGGTTATTACGAGAAAGAGGTCGTTGAGGGTCTCATATACGATTGCGAGCCGTGTTCTGACTGCTGTTGGGACAATAAAGACGAATTTGAGGAGCAGTGTAAAGCTCAAGGACTTCCGCGGCACCAAAGATGTAAACTAAGAAACGCAGACAGAGACATATGAAAAAGTATGGAAACGACTGGACAAAAAGCCGGATAAAACAAAGAAGGGCGACTACAAAACTGTGGCATCAGAGTTTTTGTTTGAAAAAGAGGACATATGGGAACTTGAGAGGGAACTTCACTCGTATAGATCGGGAAGTCCTTCTAAAGAGGCGTCAGCTTTTGTAATCATTACGGTGGCCAATTTACCATTTCAACTTTGTTGATATATCCAAAATACTAAGTTAATGAAGGCGTAAAAGAGGCCTGGCTAAGTGTTTCTAGCAGAGGCAGGTGAAGCTAACGGCGGCCTTAGAAACTAAGCTTGCCTTGTCACGCGAAATGTACACGATCACGCTACGTATTATGAACTGAAGATATCTACACGTACAGGCAATCAATATACATTTGGAAACTACAGGGAATTGAAAATTATCATATTTTTTTAACCAAAGTAGTATAAAGAAGAAACAGATCTTCGCTCCATAAATTTTGTAAGGTGATCAGACTCGCTCATGTGAGACGCTTCCTGCCTTCAGTTAACAAACTGCAATCCGTTTCTACCCAGACTTATATTGTCATAAGAAAATACCCAGACACGAAGGACAAATCAGAAGCGTTTTGCTTTATGAAGTAATGGCATCGACATTTCCCCGGACGAAACTCACAAAGTACTCTAAACGACAAAACAAAACAAAACGAAACAAAGAACGAATGGTGGATCAATCGTTCTCTCCGGTTTGATCCTGAATGTCAATTCGTTTTCATTCCTTTTTCTATTCCTCCATCCTTTGCAAGATCAACCTTAGCTATCAGATTGTTACCAAAATGGGAATCTTTCCCTTTGGATATATAACATTATCGTACATTGGGTACGTTACATTATCGTACGTTGGAGGTACCCACTAAGGATTTCACCGATTCAGTTGAAAGTTAAATTCATCTATTTCTTAATCAAACAACATTGGGCACATATTCCAACCTCGAAAAAATTTTTTAGAGATTTGAATTTGAAATTTTATCAATGAGTGGTTGGAAAAGGATTCAAAAAGATTCTTTTGATAATTTTGCAACGAAAATTACTTATTAATTATTACTGAAGCTCATGAGTGCAACCACAGCTACTGGTTGTTTAGCATGTTCAGTATCACTGCCGTGACCCATACTCTTGAAATTCGATGAAAACATTTATTTCTTGAACTGTCAATAACTACCATCCAAAGCGATCTGTTCACCAGATTTTGTTAGTAGTCACGTTTTCCATGATTTGTGACCTTGGGGAAGGCCTCTCTGTAATCGTTGTTGTAACGAACAGGGTATTGAGTTTAAATTTTATCACTATAAGTCACAACTGAATGCATGAAGAATTAATTAAGATTTCGTAACTTGCTAAGGACCAACCTAGTTACTATTTAGGCACTCTTTTATTTCAAGATGACGGTTACGTATATATATATATATATATATATATAATTCATTTGAAATTATGAATACCGAAAACATTATGCACCTAGTTTGTCAACGGTGTACAAAAAAGTAGGAATTCATGAGCTTTTCTACGTGGGATGCCTGTGGAAGACCAGGGTGACTGTAGGTAGCGACCAACGCATCCCACCTTAACGCCTTCTAGGGTGTCTTGTCTGAAATCTAATCAAGAATAAAGTAACCCGTAATGCTCTAGAAAAAGAGACGGCTGATCTCTTTTCCTCGCTCCTGCAGTTCAAGCCTCCTCAAGTCATGACGTCAGACTACGTGCTGATTTCGGATAGGCCCGTTCTTGTAGAGGGGAATCCCCGACTTTAGCCGATGACAGGGAGAAAGCTTTCCCACACCCTAGGATCGACTAAACAAGGTAAAATTTTGCTTTCAAACATCTTTTCACGTGTTCAATAATCGAGCAGCTGTATCGTTGACCGTCCACAAGTCTAAATATTTCAATCGAATTGAAAATACGACGGACTATTCACTATAATTAAAAGCTTCGTGTGGTGTGCACCTCCTGGAAAGGATTCCTCGTTCTTGATAAAGATTCTATTCGATATTTTCCGAAGGAAAAAGGAAGAATACGACAAAATGGGTTTACGAGCATTACGTCTTGCTTACTCACGATCAACATATCTGAAATCGAGACGATCAACACGTTCTTATGGTACAGCCGCGAAGAAGGTCATCATCGTTGCAGTCTTCTTTGTTTTAACGGTGAGTCCAGATCACAGATCATATTCTCTTATGCAATAAAACCGTGAACGAGCTTATTATTAACAACACCTGGCATCCCTTTCTCGTCGTTTTCTTTGCCTTTCTAACTAGTAGAAACGTCAGAGTATTAGAAAAGCAATGTCTAAAACTATGTGCTTACTCATCGTCTTTTAGCGTGGCTGGGTAATAATTTAGTTATTAACTGGGTATCTAGTTATTCCAAGACTGAGGTGCCTTCAGCAAATCGGTGGATCATTACTGCTGTTCGAGCTCATTTTCTCTTTGACATACGACTATAGAAGGGTTTTTGTGTACCAAAGATCCATTCATTACTCGTCGATTTAGAGATATGTTTATTGTTCATATTGTAGACTTCCTGCGTCAGCGCATGATAGTAATGATATCAAATGTCTTTACGAACCACTCGGCGAGGCAAAATATGAAGCTTTTTGGTTGGATAACTAGTTAATTCCATTTTCATATCTACACTTACTGTAAAGTGTCTTTTGTGTGCAAATAGGTTTGCCAGATGAGCATTATCTCGAGACCTCTGGATTGTACACTTCTGATTCGTAATTTAAGAAAATTTTGTTGATCCCTTTCGTAATAATAGACCCCTTCTTGCTTGTTCAGCGGCTTCGTTTGTTTCAAGTGTAAACGCTGAAAATGAACGGTGTTCTTTAACCTTACTTAGCATAATACAAAAATCAGACAGTGACATTGATGCAAATCGTTGTAAAAAATTTGGTTGTTGAATGCTCTGACATGACACAAGATACTTTTGATGTTGAAATCGTGACGTGAAATATAAAAATATCGATGACTAACGCAATGTTCTTAGGTGGCTGCATGCCCTAGCGTGCGACATTTTACAGAATCACAGTACAGTGCAGGTTAAATCTGTGTTGAGGTGTTACCAATGGACTTAAATACCGTCAGATTTCGTCGCTTTCAACAAAAGCAAGTTGAAAAAATTAAAGGCTGATAGTTTCGAAAGAAATTGTTTGGGGCTGCGTTGGTGGGAGTAACGAAATAATTTGAGCATATCAACAAAGTTGAAATGGTAAATTGGCCACCGTAACGCCTTACAAAAGCTGACGTTTCGAGCGTTAGCCCTTCGTCGGAGCGAAAGGGCGAATTGTGGGTTGTGTGTGCTTTTAAAGGCAGAGAATGAGTATATCAACAAAGTTGAAAAGGTAAATTGGCCA